CTCTCACAGGCTTTAGGTGGAGATCAAGCATACTAAGAGACAACGTGTTTTATCAAAGTCACCTGAATCAGTTTCTAACGCCCGCAGTCGGAAGTCATCCTCAGTGGCTGCTGTGTTACCGCGCCTCCACTCATGGCTGGGACGTCAGCACCTTCCACAGTAATTGTGATGGTAAACGTAACACAGTCACCATCGTGAAAGCAGGACAGTACTTGTTTGGAGGGTACACCGACATTCCATGGGGTAAATGGATTGCATGTCAATTTTTTATTTATTGGTTTTTTGTTTTGTTTTGTTTTGTTTTGTTGTTTTTTTTTTCATATTTTTCTTTGTTGTTGATGTTTTTTTTAAATGAAAATCCCAAACACCTGAAAGTAGCTTTTACTGGTATTTTTATGAGAAAAAAACCTCATAGATATACAATTTGAGGCAATCGTGAATGATTTTCTTTCCCCAGAGTCCAGTGGTGGGTGGACCAGCACTCCAAATGCTTTCTTATTTTCTCTCCACAATAAAGAAGGACTGGCTCCATTTAAAAGCGTGGTAAAAAAGCCATATAGGGCAATGTTCAGGCATTCGTGTTGCGGTCCAGTATTTGGTACTGGTCATGATATTTATATCACGAACAATGCCAATAGTAATCATAATTCCCATGCCAAGTTTGGTTATGAAAATGTTTATTCCGTTCCAAGTGGTGTACAAAATAAACAAGCCTTGCTGGCTGGTAGTCACCCCTTCACACCTGATGACTGGGAGGTGTTTTATCTGGGATAAGTGGCCTTGGAAGACTGAAGAAAAAGCTAAACCATTTACTCGCTCAACGGACTCTTTGTATTTTTAACGCAAACAGCACTTGACGGATATCGAGTTTTGACAGTACTTGACGGATGTCGATGTATTTTCATTACTCATATGTATGTCAGTTATCTACTAAACTGTAAGCAATGAGAACTTAATAAATATGACTTATAATCTGTGCAATCATCAAGCTAAACTTGTAAATCATTTTCATTTTCTGTTAATGAAAAATGCCGCGTAAGCTTAATGTACGATCTATTAAAAAATCGTCAATTCAATTGCCTTGATGACTCAATTATATAGTTGTTTCGTTAATTTTTTCGGTAAGTTTCTCATCCGCCTTGGTTTTTTGCTTGTTTGTTTGTTTTTTCTGTTTTGCCCTAGTTCCTATATCGCTGTTGTCCAAATTTAAAACATGTATTCCGCTCTCATACGGATACTTTAGCCTCTCCTTTTAATCGTCACAGGTTACATCTTGTTGACTGATTGGAATCTAGGTGCTTAATTCATTATTTTCTTTACTTTGTTTTTCTCTAATTCCCTAATTTGATCTCCGTTTCGATATTCTGTATCCTTTACTTGTTTTTAATTTTTTTTTTCTTTGCTATGGTTTTATCCTATCTCTTTCTTGCTTTTACACCCCGTTATATAGAGTCTTCTTATCCAATTTAACAACGATTCTCAGAGACCAAAACACATCGCAGGAGCATGATGAGTGGTTCTTTTTCACTCTTTGTTAATGCCGCATCTTTCTTTAGTGCAAACTTACTCGATAAGGCCACGACCTACGATGTTTGACTCGATCAAGTCTTTTTAAATCTTGCATGAGCCTAGTTAGGCTCGCTGTAATTTGCAAAATCGGAAACTGATTAAATGTGTACAGATTCGAATTCCCGACTGTTCTTTCCCCGGGAGTGGGATACATCATCGGGCCATTATTAGAATCTGTATCCGCTTTAAATATCGCCACAATTTAAAATTGCAATGAGTAGTCTGACTGGTGTTCACGAGACTCTTATAGGTTGATATGCGCAATTTTTCGTTGAGCACTAAGTGCAAGACTGAGCAGTGAATGGCTTGAAAACCAAGTCTAGTTATGAAAAAAAGATCGCGGAAAAATATATTCAGTATTTTCAGCTCTGGAAACTTCCGTACACATGAACCCTTACGTACTCCGCTGTGACAAAGAAGTGATGACAAACAGC